AACAACAACATTAATAATAATAATAATAATAAAGATAATAATAATAATAATAATTATAACAATAAAATAAAAATGCCTCGTGTTCGCATCTTTCATGCTGTCTAACATGCCAGGCGCAGTAGCAATGAGGCTCTCTATAAGGCTCTCACTGAAGTTTAAGATCAGAACAGAAGGTAAATATTCATCAATTTTTATGATTGTTTTTAAATGAAATATTAATGTTGTTAATCTATTTTTAGATTGTTGCGTGAGGTGAGGTTCTTAAGGAGAAAAATCGTTGTATTGAAGACAGAGTTGGAAGAGATTAGGTTTTGGGATGCAAAGTTGGTAGAGAAAAATTGGTGAAGAGATGAGGAACATTGGAGAGTGGTTCAGAAAAGAAATCAGTTGTAAGTTCAAGTTGCTGAGTTGAAGAGGTGTATAGATACAATAGATTTAGATATAGAATTTGATATTTAAAATATATTTGTTTTTCTATATTTTTTTTTTTCTATTTTTCTCTTTTCTTTTTGTTTTATATATATATATATTTATGTTATTACTTTTCTTTTTCATTAAATAAAAAAAATAATAATAACAAAATAATAACAAAAAAAATCAATCATTCGAATACTTCGACTAAGAGCCACACTGAACTCGGTACCTAGCAGGTAGCTCCTTTAGCCAGTCTCGAACCTGGGTCCTACAAGTGGTAGCTCTCTGCCGTGATTGTTAATCCATAGTTCAAATGATACTAAAAATTTTAATATTACTTTTTATAGATATAAATAGAAGTACAATTACGTATTAATTTTCCTTTTGAATTTTTTTTCAAAAAATTATGCATGTATTGGGCTGAGTATTCATTGGTGCAATCGGAGATTCTAATCCAAATACTCTTTTTGTAAATAAAATTTAAATGTCTAGTGTTTTTCAAGTTTTTCGTCTTTTTATGATATTTACGAATTTATCATTAGATGTATCGAAAAATAATATTAAAATATTAATTAATAATAGATAAGAATAATAAATATTAAATTAATTTTAAGAATATTATAATTAATGTTAAGAAAATATTAAATTAGTATTAATAAAAATATTAATAAAAATGTTAATAAAATGTTAATAAAATTTTAAGTTTTTCTGTTCCCAGAATATAGTTTTGCTTTTCCAGATAATAGTACTAAGAACTCTTCTTTCCATTTTTACTTTAGAGTCTTCTGGATATTTTAATAGTCTTACTCTTATTAAGGGCATGAGTAAGCTTCTTTACTTTCTTCGTTTATTAGTAGGTTCCGTGATATCAAGCAGGTGACTTGAGCTATATATACTTCAAGATCATCGGTCCGTCTCTTTTCTTTTCTTATTTTATTTTGTTATTTTTTTTTTTTATATATTGTTCTGCTTATTAAACAATTTCAATATAAACTCGTATTTTTCTTTTTACAGCTTGTCGTTCTTCTCATAGTCAGCTTGATTATGTTGTCCTTCGTCGCTTTTCGGTCATGAATTCCAAATACAGTAACTTCGGGATCTGTTACTGATAATCTTTGGCAGGTAGATCTTGCTGATTTTCTTTTCAGTTAGTTCTATTATTTAATGTGGAACTTTAATTTATTTGTTAATATTCTTTTTGTCCATTTTTTTCCTTGCGCATTAGTCTTCGCCGATTTCGTTATTCATCAATCGATCTTGGGTCACTTCAGCATTTTTCTTTCAAGTAACTCTCCAATGCATTACTTGTAGCTTGGTGATGTTTCTCAAGCTAATTTCCTTTTGGTCCTTTTGGTCTTGAAGTCCTTGTGGCGATTCTTCATGGAGATCTTAGATTTGTTTGATCTAGTGATTGGTGTCGTAATCATGTGATGCTAATTGTCACGTGGTAAAATATATAAAAATCAACAATCTAATTGTTGATTTTTATATATTGTATCATGTAACAATTAGCATCACATGATTACAACGCCAATCACTAGTTTGATCTTTTATTAGAGCATTCTTATGTTCATTTTTGCTCTTTATTTTAACATAGTTTTTCTTTTTCTTTCCTCTAAGAGCTATTGTAGGTCGCTCTTTATTTAGCCGAGTAGTCTCTTAAATGGGCTTCTACCATGTCTTGGGTTGGGTCATTAGGTCTTTTCTCTCATATTCGTGTCACAATAGGTCTTGAATTAGTTCAACATCTTCTTTTAGAGCATCTCTTGTTTATGTTAATTCCTTTAACTGTTCTTTTGAGTTCTTTTTCTAGAGCATTGTTACCAAGTCTTTTCTGGAGCAGAAATCTTGCTCTTTGTAGATTTTTTCTTTGGTGTCTATCTACTTTCTTGGTCATTTAAGTATAGGAACTTTTTCATCCGGAATAGATAAGTATTTTTAGTCACGTGATATTATTTTCTTTAGTGCTTTTTATTTTAACATCTATTATAAGTTTCATTATGTCAAGTCAAGATTTTTAATTTTACTTTTCTCTATTTCAATTAGGTTCAATTCCATCAACTAGCCAATAGTATAATGTTTCAACAGCAATAATATTGTTCCTGTGCAATTCTAGGAACTCTTTGGAGTGTTATTAAAGAATTTCAATCGGATAATTATCTTAGGTTTATTTCCTAAGCCTTGATATATTATAGGTATGTTAATATATATTTTTTTAAAAATATATTCCAAATTCAGCATTCAGAGCTATAGTACCAAATAATAATAATAATAATCAAAAATAATAGTAATAAAACAAACAATAATAATAATCATAATCAAAATAATAATAATTCTAGGATAAAAAAAAAAAATGAGGTGTGGCGACTTAGTGAAGTGGTCTAGTTGTCACCCTCACCAAACGTTATAGGAAGATCTCATGTTCAAATCCCAGGAACGGCGCTTTTGTAATATGGGAAAAGTCTGCAACGATCTTCACTAAGGTTGGCCCATGGAGGATCTGTCAAGACGGTGTTAGATAGCACCGTTGAGGTGATTCTGGAAGGCTGTAATCTGTGGGCTGTGCATAGCACAGGTCACAGGACCGGAGATCGAAGCCCGTTTGGAAAGTCCCGAGTTTGGAGGTAGCAGTGATTTTCGATAGTATTACATGAAGGCTGAATTTGAACTGGGGCCCGAGATTGGAGAACCGAGCAACTAGATCCTTTAGTGGGGGACACACCAGCCGAAACGCCGGTTTAGACGCACCGGAGGAAAAGGCCATATGCTCCGAAAGTATGAACCAAGGGGAGGGCGTCCTTCAGGCACCTAAAGCCTGGGCAGACCAACCCTTCTGGGTTGCCAGCTGGAAGTTAGGGATGGACTGATAAAGAATCCGGTTAAAGAGATGGCTTGAATGTGGGTACTGGGGTTGCTGTGAACCAATACAAGGGCAGGAGTATGTAATGGAAGACTAATTAGGAAGATTGTGCTTGAGATACGGATTGTGTTACAGCAGCACCCCAAAAGGTAGCATGAGATACGAACACAATGGCGGCAGACAATATGTACTAATTAGAAAGAAATTACCGAACATGCAGATGAATACACGTGTGAAACATAGACCACTCTGTTAGGTTTATCTCATGGATAGATTAGCCTCATTGGGGTTAGTAAGTCCTAAGGTGGATGCAAAATCAGATTAGGCAATAGTGAACTACCTGTGTATAGTAAGCTATGCCTTAGGTTAGATAGTATCTATTGGTTTGGAAGTAGGTTATGGTTAGAGAGTTTAAATGGGTACCCCCCTAGTTGGAGTACAGGTACGGCAGATAGTGTAGAACCTTCAGGCGGACTACTTAAATTAGGCACTCAAAAGGTACATGTGTGGCTATATATACCCTTACTGTAATTGAAAAACATAACTATCTAATAAAACGTTCCCCGGCCAAAGAGGTTACCTTAATACCAGAAAAAAAAACAGACAGATCAAACCAGAATTCAAAATAAAAACATTTAACTATCTGTCTTCAAAAGTAGATAACTTTCTGATAAGTATGGACAAAAGAAAAAAGAAATAAGTACTGTTTAAAGCCAAAAAATAGTATTGAAGTAGGAAAGTTTTAGAAAAAAAAGAGAGAGAAACTGTATTAGTAGAGTACTGAAAACCTATTACAGATGCTTAGAAAGACTCTACCAAAATCATCAAGTATAAGAGATACAACTAAAGTTTAATAGCAGATACAAGTATAGAAGGCTTTTGTATTAAAAAGGTTAAAAAAAGCAAGGTCTTTACAATTTGCCCAAAACTCTTAGAGAAGGCCAACTCTCAAAAGTAAATATGGGAACTGTGTATTCTACTACAAGTGCAAACCTATATAGCAAAATGTTAGCAATTAGCGCAAAAGCTATACAAGAATTACAAATAAATGATATCATTATTTACCTACTAGAAATTAAGATAATTTGCCAAGCCATAGAAATATAAAGAAATTAAAAAAGTCATATTACAACTCAAAGAGGAAAAACAAATTATATTTTGTACTATTGGCTCTTTTCTCAATTTGAAAAAAAAATACAAGAAAAGAAAAATAAGGCTTAGCTAAATTACTTTTTTAGGGGGATGTCTAAAGTAGAGGGAAATCACATGATAAATATGATAATCATGATTGGTTAAAGACAATAAAGACCTGATTGGTCAATGATAAAATATTAGATTTTTGATTTTAATAGTGTCAATTTGTCAGCGTCATGCATTTTTTTTGTTTTTCTTTGATCACAGATTTTTTTTTCTTTTACAACTATAGATTTTGTAGTCTTTTATTTTTTTTCGCTTGACTTAGCACGTAATATAATATCTTGCAGTCTTATTTTATATATATATTGTGTATATACAGAAGATTTTTTTTTTATATAAAAATACTTTTTTCAAGATTCGAAACCTATATAATTTTGGGTTATAAACTTGTAAGCAAACATATTAATATTTTGTGCCATTTATTATATATTTAAATACTAATTTTTTTTTTAGTATTTGATTTTAAGAAAATAGTAAAAAAAAAAAAAGTTTTTTACTTTTAATTGTTATATCTATTTCTTCGAGTAGCATGTCTCTTGCTTCTTCAAATATTATATTTACTTCTTCAGATAGTGTACCTGCTTTTTTCTCAGATATTGCATCTACATCATTTCTAGATATTGCATCTTATACTTCTCTGGGTATTACATTTACAGTATCTTTACCTCCTGTAGATATTGTTTCTTCAGTAGTTATACCAGCATCAAACCTTACTCTAGATGAAAAACGGAATCTCCTTTTTGATGTTAACAGTTCTTTAGAAATTCTAATTAATAATTTTAAAGAAAATTGGTGACTATTAGTAATGAACATTTGGACTCAATGGGATTTATATAAGTATGTAAATAGTGATACATGGAAGGTTTTTGCTTGCCGTTTTATAAAGCATCGGGAATCAAGTACGCAGCAAAAAGAAAATATCTCTAATAAAAAACGCAGAATAACAAAGATACGACCATCTGGTCTCTGTAATGCAAAAATTAAAATTACCTAGTTATTCTCTTCAAGTATAGTTCGAATAGAGCGATATAAAAATTCACCAAACCATATGCATACTTTAATAGAAATTGATAGGATAAAATGGCCAAAAGCTATAAAAACTTTGGTTGAACAAGAGGCAATCAAAAATTATTCACCTCCTGCAATTACTGATGCTATAAAAGAATATGCAACAGTAGAATTAGGACTTGGTAAATGTGTACGTGAGTTAAAATGCAAAGAAGTAACAAATATAAAATACAAAGTCCGTGGACCTATAGAAACCCATCTCATTGGCAATTTAAATTTAAAATTGGATATTTCAGAATCTATATCCTATTTAATAGAACAAGGGTATCTTGTTGAAAGTTATTGTGTATCTTAGCAATCTACTAAAGGTATTGTGTTCACACATCCAGAACAACTGAAAAAAACTTGAATGTCATGAGTAGTTAACACTTATAGACTCAACTTATAAAACAAACCGCTATGACTGACATCTATTTACTCTTTATATTTGTAATACTTATGGATGTTGGAATGTAGATGCCCACTTTTTTGTAAGCAACAAGGATGAAGATACTGTTGCAGAAGCATTGTTAATTATTCGTAATAAATATTGTCACTGGTATTCCCGTTATATACTTGCAGATTAAAGTAGTATCAAGGCTAAGAGTATTCAAAAAACTTTTCCTAGTGTAGTAGCTAGTGAACAAGAGTGCCAAGTAATTTTTTGCGTTGTTTATATAATGAGAAATTGGATGCAAAAAATATATGAAAAAAAACTCGTAATATTATGGTTGCGGTGATGCATAAAAGAACAAAAATTGGCTATGAAAGCCTTGTTCAAAATGCTATCAATAGTTGCTCTGTCCCTGCTATGCAAAATTATATTAAAAGAAACTATGCAAAAAATACACACCAATGGAGTTTGTGGGCTTGCCAGCATTCCCCCCTGCTACTACAAGTTACATCAACAAATCCGTTAGAATCTTTTCACAGTGAACTGAAGAGAATAACATCTTCTTTACATAGTTTAATTGGTGACTCAGCATTTTTATTTATTTGCTTTTATACCTACTTGGGACGATGATTTTTTGCATCACACAAATATGCAAGAACCTTTTGAGTAAATTATTATAGAATATGGAAATTTTTAATTTAATTTATTTCTTTTTTTTTATTTTTTAAAAACATTTTAGAATAGGTTGGGTTTTAAAAAAATTATCTTATATATATTTAGTATAAATAGAATATTTAAGTATTACAAAAAAATCATTGCCCCTTGCAACCTTTTTTTTTTTTTTTAATACTTTTTTTTTTTTTTTTTTTTTTAATTCTTTGACAGTCTTGCCAGTGCTCAATTTATTTAAGACTATATTTAGATGAGAGTTGAACTCTCT